AGACGTACAATTAACTTTGAATACTGCACATAGGGATTCCAAATTATGTGAACCTAATACATCATTAACTTTGGATACAGCAATTAGACATTACATTAACGTGAACCAGATGCATTATTGAATTTAGATACTGGAAGTATAGATATCCCATTTACAAGAAACAGAGACATCGACTTTGGATACTTCAAGTAGACATTTAATATATGTAAACTAGATGAACTGTTGACTTTGATACTGCAAGTAGACATCCGATTTACGTGAACCAAATGTATCATTAACTTTGGATAGGTACTGCAAGTATACATGTAATTTATGAGAACCAGATGAACCATTGATTTTAGATACTGCAAGTAGACATTTCATTTACGTGAACCAAATGTGCCATCGACATTAGATACTTCAAGTAGACATTTCATTTATGAGAACCGGATGAACCATTGACTTCGGATACTGTAAGAAGACTAGACATCCCGTTTACGTGATATAAATGCACCATTGACATTGGATACTGCAAAGAGACATCTCATTTACGTTAACCAAAAGGAGCATTGACTTTGGATACTGTAAGTATACTTCCCCTTTACGTATAACAAATGTAGCATTACCTTTGGGTTCTGCAAGTAAACATTCCATTATTTATGTAAACCAAACGTACCATTGAATAAGGATTCGACCAGGAGATGTCTCATTTACGTAAACTAGATTTAGCATTGACTTTGGATACAGTAAGTAGACATTCCATTTACAACAGACGTAGCATTTACTTAAAAAAATGATTAATATACCTTTATACCATGCATCCATCGTTGACCAGTAGTGACTGGATAGATTTCAGTTTTAATACTAGATAGGCTATTTAAGCGGTTAACATGGCTGTAGTAAGTAGTAACAAGGTCCATTCCATACTTGCTCCGCTCAATATTGCAAGCATACGACTGCATTGCACACCTAGTATATCTATATATATATTATATATATATATATATATGTTAATTAGGGACGTTTGACACTAAACAACCCTCCTTGCGACGTTGCCAATACTACCAGGCCGCGGCCTGTAGTTAAAGGCGGCCGTGGTACAGCACGGGTTTTCAGTTAGTAAAATGTCGGTTATGTGCGGGGAGCAACCCCACGATAATCAATTGTTGTAGGATCAAGCACAAACAAGGGAAAACTTTCCCTTTGTCTGTGATTCAAGAAAAAGGCGACTACATTCGAAAATTCAATCCGATCCAATTCCAATTTTCCAGCAGATCGACCAGCCAGATCAGATCAGGATCAGCGATCAGATCCGATCGGATCTAGAACCAAGCCAAGAACAAGAGAACTACTAAACTAAAACTAAACTAAACACTAACCTCAAACCTCAAGCTCAAACCTCAAACCTTACTCACTCACTAGCTACTACTTTTGGTTAGATTATGTTTTAGGAACAAAAGACATTAATTTGAATCGACGATCATTCATCATGTAAGTTACTCACTAAAGTAAGCATTAATAGTCATTTTGATTTTAATTTGTAATATTGATTAATCATTCACGAGGCAAACTGATTTAGTTGGCCTAGTATATCCCGTATTGCCCACAGCCTGTTGACAAGCCGGGAAGCTGGCCCTATTCTCGCCTCCCGTTTGTTAAACAACCCTCCAAAACCCAAATGGATTTAATATGGTACTTTAAAACCAACTATGCGAAAACAACTCAACCGTAATAACTGAAAAATGTTAATGACATAGGCAATAAACATGAAGCCTAGGCTAGGTTTAAACTATTAGGCCTAGCCTATGTTACCCTACTAAATTACCAGGAGAGCAGGCTTTGTTAGAGCAGGGTTGCCACCTTAGGTTAGGGAAAAATCGGGACATGGCTCCCATCCCCCCGGATTAACATAGGCTTAAATGCAGGCATAAGGAATCAAAATCGGGACTGTCTAGGCAGAATCGGGCGGTAACCCTGTGTTAGAGTGATAACTTTAACAGTCATATTTTATTTAATAGACCATTAGCCTATGTCTGATCAAAGCCTAGGAGCGGGCTAAGGACTCACCGACAGTGAGGAAGAATTTTATGCTTGCAGCTTGCACTCCAGTCTGGTTTGCAACTTTAGAGTTTGAATAATTATGTGGCAGGGCTTGGTGGGAGAGGCCCTCGTGAATAACAAACTAATGTAGGGTATCTTATTTGTCATTGTTTATTATTTATTATAATTGTAGAATGTGATGCAAACTAATTAGGCCCACGGTATTCATAATCCGGTATTCATCATACCTATTGTGTAAATATGATTATAAGGATTAAGGAATAAAGAAATACCTAGACCTAGTCTATTTGTGATTTGTTTAACTTACTCTTTTAGGCTTTTTTTTTTTGTAGCGTCAGCTGTAGCTACGCTATTTTTAAGATTTTATAGCTTTAGCTGTAGCTAGCTACATTTTTAAAGTAGTTGTAGCGGAATTTTAGCTACTTTTCTCGCTACATTAACATTGTTTGAGATAGTGATTTTTATCATAACCTCAACCCCTTAAACGTGAAACAACCTCTTTCAAACTGAGATTTTCAAAAAAAATTAGGCCTAGGCCTACTTTCTTGGCTTCATACAGCTGGTTGCAGCCGTTTCATTCCCTATTACAGAATTATAACGTTGTGTGGACATGGAGGCCATTAAATGAGTGTTATCCACATTTTTGGCTCTCATTTCCTTAATTTACTACTCTATGATTACTGTCAGATAAAATAAAATCGCTAGATGCAGACGACGTTTAAACGTTACCGGTGACAAGAGAAACTATCGAATGCTTGCAAGTGATTGACAGGGAAATTAGTAATCAATTTAGTTTCTTTATTATATCGATAGTGTTTCAACTTGGCTTTTAATGGAAACCAACACTAAACCTTAAAATAATGAGAAAGCTGGTCTATTAACCTTTGCTTCAGCTGTTGATTGTGGTTCATCATCACAAACCCTTCCTTGGTTAGATTACGAAGATTTTTCAAAGGTTTACTAAATTAACAAAGAGGAAATTACCTTATGTGATTTAAGATATGTCTAGACTAAATTATAATTGTAACGAAAAAATCTCCATACATATAACATGAAACTTACATTGAAAAAATAGCATGGTTTGCTCCTGCTAACAGCTCTTGTATAGGACTATTCCTAGGCTATGCTATGGTTTTGGTTTAAGACGAATACCAAGTTCCAAGTTCAATTATTAGGAATATATCTGTTTAGTCCTTGCAAGAACAAGCCTACTATTAGCCAACTTGTTACAAAGCCAAGTAGGCCTACATGTTACTTTACAAATTTCAACATGTTTAAATTAAAAGCCGATTTCAGGATAAGTTGCTGAATACTGTTTTCTGTACCAACTAGGTCGAAGCACAATTTGCCCTATGCATAATGACAATAAAGGGACGATTTTTTTACATTGAAAAGTGTTATTTACAGAACAAGTAACTTATCACTTTAAAGTTATAGCAATGTCATTTTTAACATTAAAAGTAAAGAAAGGCAATAGACTCCAATTTCAGTAGGCTAGGCTCTGTAACACAAAAAGTATTTTTAAATAATAGTTTTACAGTTTTATTGGTCTTAATTGTTGATATAAGACATCTATAATTGAATCTATATTAAAGAAATAAAATGAGCTTTTAAAATATAGTTTGGTTGTATGTCCTTTGAACTTAATGAAATTTTTATTTAAGATGCTTAAAAATATTCAATATTAAAAAATAAGTACTAAATATGATGGGACACCCAACTATTTGGTTCTGTTGTCAATTATCAATTATCAATCATTAAGATGGGGACGCCACTTAGGTGCGTATTTTAACCCAAATATGAGTGAAGAATGAGTGTAGAATGGTGTGAGATGATCTATGCAGCTTTGTTACTGACTAAGATCAGCTGTTTCATTAGCCAGGATCATTTATTTAACCCTTAGAGTGCCAGGCGAGAAATAAAAGTAACGCTCAAAAAATGCCGATGATTTTTCCCGAAGGTCGCGCTAAAAATGCCGAGCGCGATCTGGCGATTTTTAGGTTAAAATTTCGTAAAAATCGAATTTTTGATATTTCGACCAACGAAAATCGATGTATCGCATCTAGCAACTTTTGACTCAATGTTAATATATGGGTTAAAAGAATCCGAGTATCCATTCGGTTGTTATGACAACTGTTCGATCATTACGAAACGTCCGGTCAGCCGGACGTTGGCACTTTTGGCTTGTTCTAAAAACGTCCGGTCGGCCGGACGTCGGCACTTTTGGCTCGTTTTAAAAACGTCCGGTTCCCCGGACGTTGGCACTCAAAGGGTTAAAGCCCAATGATCAGGAACAGCTGGGTTCAGTTTCGAACCATCAAAAAGCTACTGACTTATCTCAGGATCGAACCGGCGACCTTTGTAATGTTAGGTTTATAATGCCAACAAATTAAATACAATCTAGGAATAATTTGTTTTCCAAGTAATGTTAGATACAATACTGACATTTTTTTATGTTTGTTCAATAAAAATGTAGTTGTAATAATTAGTTTTACATTTACCTAATGTGCGTGGAATAAAAAGTAACGTCTTTGGAAAATTTACTAAAATTGCTTTGTAAGTAGCTAAAATTGTAGTTGTAGCTAGCTACTTTTTCGGAGCTGTAGCTGTAGCTAAGCTACTTTTTTGGAAATGTAGCAGTAGTTGTAGCTAGCTACATTTTAAAAGTAGCTTCCCCATCACTGCTTACACCTTAGTATTAGGCCTACGTGTGTGTAATAGAGTGGTTATGTTTTATAAATAAGTTAGGCCTATACAATTTGTATATTGTATCTATGCAGCATAATCAGTTAGGCCTATATTAATCAAACATATTTGTAGATATTCGTTCCACTGTAGATAACTTACTGATCTAGTTTTGAACCTTAAAATTGTATAAGCCTAGGCTACTATTTGTATTTTCATTGTATTTTTGGTTTCAAAAGCTTTGGTAACAATATTTGGCCCATGGTTTGTTTCAGAGTTCCTCTTCATCATGTCTACAGCTAATAATAACTCTCGGAGGGCATGCTGTGGTCTTAATCCTATATTTGCATCTGATTTGAAGTTAACCCTTGAAACAGCTTCTGCCAACTGGTAATAAAATTCTCATCTAGGTTATTTATTTAGTAGTTATAAAATGAATAAACTTAGGCCTAGCCTACTTGTTTGATAAGAAATAGCCTACCTACTTATTGTTTGGGTGTTTACAGGCAATAAAGTGTGTAAATTATTTACAATCAAATTGTCACATATAGACAAATATTATTTTCAACTTCAAATTAGGGTTGTTCAACACCTAACTTAAATATTTGTCACTATACCGTTTTCAGGTGGGGATTAGAATAATATTAGGATGGAAATCTTGCATTTAATACTGTGTTTTGCAAGAGTATATACCCTATGTTTGCAAAGTCTGTGCGAATAATATATTATTATTATTATTTAATAGTCCAGGATGTCCAATGAATGGTTTGATGGACAAAAAATGTGAGAACCAACCGCCGTTTTGAGATAGGTATGAACTGTACCCACAAAAAATTTATCTTCTCTCACATTGTCACAAAGTACAAGGCAGAAAGCCGTTGCAATCCAGCAGTGCTCTATCCACACTAGACCTTCTACAGAGCTCCGATCCTCAACTCGCGTGTGCGCATATACTTGGAGAGCATTCTATTGGCTGTCATGGCGTGACATCACTCTCTTCTCTTGAGGGAACACCATTACCGCAACGATACAGATACAGCCATCGGTGTTCGTGGTGTAGTGGATAAATTCCTCGCCCTATATCCAAGTGGTAACCAGATCGAATCCCACCAGGACACTAAGTTTTTGTCAAAGATTTTGCCTACAATGTGATTATTTCTTAACTGTACCTATATCTTTTGTTAGAATTTGAGGCATTTATAATTTTATTTGATGAACAGAACTATTTTTTCGATTAGTAATGAACCTTCATTCGATTTTTTCATTATCAGCAATTTTGGTTAGTTAGGTTAAGTTATGACTATAAACCCATTCATTTTTCAGTTTTTATTTAAACTCTCATTTCGTTGGTATCGAAAAACCGCTGCTAAAATAAAAATCGTGCAAGGAGCGGAGCTCTGTAGAAGGTCGAGTCTCTATCCACTAAGACTGATACCTAGTCTTCTGAAGTCAAGGTAATAACTGAACAATCATGTTTTTGGCTGTGCCTGTATATTACTTTCAAAACTGCTGACATGATATTAAAGCCAAAACTTTGTTTGAAAATCTAAGACTTATTTGTATTAATCTTGGTATTTTTTGAGAATTGAACTCTTGTTTTAGCTACGACTTCATATGTACCCCAATAAGTCATCCTCGAAGATTTCGAGACCTGCTCAATCCGAGCCTTGCTAGCAACGATCCTTTTACAAGATCAGATTTGATTCTGAGTTCTGAAGGTAAGATGTTGTTCCTCAGCATGAACCTAGTACTGATCCCCGTATTTAACCTGTGATTTTTTTTGTGTGTTTTGTGTTCCTGGAATTCTTTTCTTAGATAACTTAGTTGTACGTATTTATTCCTTCTCCCTCAGTGTTAGGTTTTGTTTCTTGTTATGTGTGTAGAACTTATTAGCCCCTAGACTCTGACTTGTTTCAGGTAGGCCTATGTTAGCTAAATTCTACCCCCTTCTACAACAAATTTTAATCAGCCACTTAGCTCTCCTTTAAAATATTACCTATAGTTCAATATATATATATATATATATATATATATATATATATATATATATATATATATATATATATATATCCATATATAAAGCCAAAAGTACCCATGAATTTTGAGAAAACTACAAGTCACACCCTCATAAACCATATACTTAAAATGTTTGACATGACAAGAAACCTTCTATTTGCAAAACTATCTATTTGTTCATGAATTGCCCTTTAAGATCGTAATTCCTTGCCAAAGGGAACTTTCCATACACCTAATGTAAAAAATACCTCAGCTGTACTTATTTGTATATTATTCTTTCAATTTATTACCTTACTAGCAGAGTACCCGTCCTTCGTACGGGGTTGGCATATAAGTATAAAATACTTATTGCAGTTATAGGCCTACTCAAGCTTTGTGTTTGCAATGGGAGAGGACAAATTTGAAGAAAATTGTTTACTATATAAAATTTACGGTATACTATAGTATTACAAATCTACCAAAGCCATAAATGTTCGACTACTTCACCTAAACAACTGAGACAGATAAATTATTAACAATTCGCAAAATATCACAAATTATTCATTAAATTAAAAACATAAACATAACTGTAAACAGTCGTACTTTGACAGTTCTCATTGCATATCCATTTTTTGTTGCTGCTTAGTTCAAATAGTCAATGGTTCAAATTAGCTGTATTTATAAAAGCAAAAAGAATTATTGTGCTGCACCAAGGCCACACTAAAAGTATTTCAGCCCAATCCGTCCAGTAGTTTATGCGTGATTGAACTTCAAACATACATACAAACAAACAAACACACAAATGTTCACATTTATAATATTAGTAAGATAAGATTAAAATCAGGTGTGATTATTGGTTTGTATTACTGTATTCTGTTTAAGTTTATTTCAGCTTAACTTTAACCAATCAAAAGTTTTATTAATACTTACTGAAGTAAAACGGGATGAAGCCCGTGGGTAACAACTAGTTTATATATATACGTCTATTGGGTTACCAGGGTATTTATCCGTTGACCTCCAGTCATTCATAGTTGTTGCATTCAAATTAAAATATAGACTTAAAATCAATTAACAGTTCTGCCAAAAATAGATAGCCTATCATACCTTCTAAAATACCCCTATTTTACTAGTCAGGTTGGTATGGAAATTCAATATTTCAGCGTTGATATTAGCTCCATAAACATTTGAGTGCTGCGTCCATTTTGTTTTGCTAGTGTCACATTTTTTCAGAGTGGTCATGCAACATCGTTGCCATGTGCAGCCAGAACATAGACTGCGACAGTCCAATGGAGGATAGGAGGAAGCTAAGCGAGCTCATTCTGGATCAAGAGCTGACTTATGCCTCTCACCTGGCTGTGGCGATGGCGCACATCACCCTCTCTAAGCCCAACAACACCAACTTGGCGCGCATCATCAACGCCAAGATGCTCAAAGGACATTCTAGCCCGGTAAGCCTACGTACCTTTTCAAATTTTACACTTTTTTGCAAAAACGAGTAGGCTATGTGTTTTGAAACTAATGTAAATACTTGGTTACTTGGTAATTCAGACGTTCCAAAGGACATTCTATCATAAAACTCATTCAGTAAACTCCTGCCTTATCCATGAGTGAATTAACTACATTATGCAAGTTAAATGTTATTTTTAATCAACAGCAAGGCCTATCACTACACAAGCAGACAGTTGACGTTGTTTATTTCACCTATTATCGATGAGTCACAACTTTTTTAAATAGTATTATATATATAACAATATTATTGGTTTAAAAGAATAGACATGTCTTAAAACAAAGTTAAAAGTTATGTAGATTCAATTTAAAATGTTTATTACCTAAACCTCTAGGTATTAAGTTTGACTTGATTAGGTTTCTCTGGAGGCTCATAATCTGGTGTCTACTGTAGTTTTTATAAGATGAGATGTAAAATAAACAGTATCAGCAATCTGACAAGACACATACTTTCTCCCTCAAGCTTGTCAACGACCTTTATCATGGGTAAGGGATGGGAGTAACTATGATGTGTAATAAGGAAAAAACACAAAAGTTGCAATTAACATACTTTCTCAAGGTGCTATAGACTATAACCTATAAAGTATAACATATTAGCACAGAGGGCACTTTATTCATTTGATGACTTTTTTAACCTTAGAACAGATAATAGATCTTAAAATTCAGAAAACAGCAACCTGGAGCAGTGTGATCAATAATGTCCTACCAATCATGTTGATTGTAGCCTACTTATTCATGTAATTATTTGTGTTAATTGTTTGACACTATTCATGAAATATGTATTTACAAAAATATGAATAACTAGCTGTACCCACGGGCTTTGCCCCGTTTAACTTCATAAGTATAGCGAGATGGCTATGTATTTACAAAAATATGAATAATGATCATTTGATTTGATTTGACCTACATACCAAATTTAATCAAAATTGGACTACATGTGTGGTCTGTAGCTCTGTACACATTCACACACACAGACATCACTTCGAAAACCACTCAAAACTCCAACTCTAAAATTTTGACGAAAACATTACTTTCTCCATATACATCTTCTTTACAGGGGGTGAAAGTGAAAATTGTTAGAAAATCCAAATTAAGCCTACAGATAATATTGTTTTTTACAGTTTGCCCTATTAGGCTATCAGTGTATAACCTACAATAAATTATTTTTGAATTTAATAATTTCATAAAGGAACTCAATTGAAAGATAAATTTGCCTTCATATTTTCGGTTTTAACTTCCTAACTGTGATGTATAGTTTTAATCTATTATATTTTCTAAACACCACTGACTGTTATTTAACTTGCTATCTCACCAAATATAAGACATACAATTATCAAGATCGGCATTAAGGGCTTTTGTGGATTTTCTCTTCAGTCCAACTAAAATTTTACCTTACTAAATTTTCATCTAACTATATTTTTTAGCTCAACTTTATATTGTGTTGGTTTCTTCTACGATCTATCACAACTTGAGGAGTTAGGAATTTAGACATTGTTTGACAGGGTTTACAAAGTATTCTGAATTTTCAGCTTTGGGTACAAGTTCCGATGGTTGCTCCTTCGGTCCAGACTCGTTTCCACCTCAACCGTGACAGCCAACAACCTGAACCTGACACCTGGGAATGGTGAGGTTCATTGATTTCTATAGTACAAGTTATAAGTGTTATGTTTCTGATGAAGAAATAAAATAATCTTAATTTTATTTATAGAGAAAATATCATCCATTATTTATGAATTAGGCCTATGGAAGTTTGCTACAAACTCTTGATTCTCATATTTTTTAAATTCTCATTTACAACACCTCAGAAATCTTCATGTTCAACTTGTTTGCTTCAAGTTGCTTTTAAAGACATTGTTAAGTGGCAGTCCCAGGGTGTCTACCAACCGGGAAATCCGGGAAAACCGGGAATTGTACTTAAATTTTTACTGGCCATGAAATGTACGGGAATTGTCCTTAAATGCTAGACTATGTCCTTAAATTTTTAATGGGCCATAATTTTATTGATCGCTAGTTGGTTGGGAGCACATAAAAGGTTTATCAGATGTTTGTTTACATTTTCATAATTTATTACTAGAGTAATTATGCAATAAAAATCCCATTAACAATCTCAAACCCATAAATATTTTATCAGGACAATCAAGTGTCAAGTCAACTACCTCCAAGAACTGTTGACTCAGCAGCTAGCTCATAAAAGTTGTATCACTTTAATTCCTTTACAACTTCTTTTTTTATTACTAGGGTAATTATTATTAGATCCCAAACATATTTTATCGTGAAAATAATAGCTTTATAATGGCTGTTAAATTTCACTTCTTAGGCCTAGCGCATACGGTCAATTTTTCGATCGGCCGATTAAAAAATCGGCCAAAAATAAATCGCCCTTGATTTATGTCTAGGCGCACACGTGGCGATTTTTTAGTCGAGAAATTGATTTTTTTAGTGCGGTTAAGCTATCCTAAAATGGACTTTGTTGAATTAACCTGTGTTTGTGCTCTTATAATTAGACCAAAGAAAAAAAGAAGACAACTTAAATATTGGGTTCATCCGATAGTAAGTCAGAGACTTTAAAATCGACAGTTTTATAAACTATACTTACACTTTACGTGATGACAGTAAAAAAAAATTCTTTAATTACTATAGAATGTATGTTGAAAGTTTCAGTTTTTATTATAACAGCTGTGGCCTTTTTAGCAAAGAAAACAACACAACTCACACTACTCCTGTGGAGAACAACAAGCGACTGGCCGATTTTTTAGTCGACCGTGTGCGCGGACTGATAACAATCTGTACGTTACAGATTTTCGGGCGACAGTCGCCTCGCCTACGAATCTGTGGCAAAACCCAAATTTTAAAATCGGCGCAATTCTCGATCGCCTGTGTGCGCGCTTCCATTCAAATACATGATGCACAGATTGGCCGATGAAATAGTCGCCTCAAAATAATCGCTCGTGTGCGCCTAGCCTTACTCGTACTTTCGGCAAGCCGCGGCGATTGCCTAGTGCCATAAAACTGTTTATGGTTTCATATTAAACATGTAAATAATCTACAGTCTTATTTTGTAAGTTAACCCCTTTTTTATGGACATTTTATCTTTCAATTGACAAAACCACAAGCATTGTTGTTTGCATTAATGTTTTATCACTATGTAGGCCTGCTTGGTTTCAAATTATGTCATTGCATTTTCTGTATCTTTGTCTTATATTGTTGGCTATTCAGGTTTCAATGTTTTTTTGTTTCCCATATATTTATTTATTGAGTTGTATGCTTTAAGCAATCAAAATCTTATGAACTAGAATGATGATAGTGACTTTGCTGCTATTATAACCTCATTGTTTGTTACTCAGTTTATATAGGCCCTCCTAAATAATTAGGTCTAGGCCTGGGTATTTTGATTCTTGAAAGAGCTGTAAAATATATTAAGAAAATGTAATTGAGCCTAAGATAAACAACTAATGATTGCTATGTGTCGATATTAACTTTGCAAATGAAAATACAATAATCTTACTCTGTGCTTATTGCTTATTAATAGCCGCTTACCAAACCTTGAAGAATTGAGTAACAATATGCATTAAAGATTTTTTTTCAAAAGTAGTCGAGAACCTAACGTTGTGCCAGGGCGAATCATGCCAAATTAATCGGCCTGGATCGGATAAGCTATGTTATGAAGTTTACGTGACTGATGGAGATATTTGTCCCTATCGCAGGAGACAATGATTGCGTTTCTCTGTTACACTATAAAAGCTTTACCTAAAGTATAGGTAGGCCTATGTTTGTTTACTTTCAATAAATTTCTATTTTGTTATTTTTAACTCTTATCTATTATTATTTACTTTTCTCTCTGGTACAACTACAGTGAATAACAAGATTAATACAGTTTGACAAATCAGGAAAATTATTCGGTAGGCCTAATGACACCGACAAAGGTTACGGCAAAGTGTCCTTAAATGTACGGGAATTGTCCATGAATTTTTTATCCAGAATGTAGTAGACACCCTGAGTCCGCTCCGCTTTTAGGAAAACAGTACTGTTGAATTGTCTAAGACAAGAGATGAGCGAACTTCTCGCTACGCTTTCACACCTAGGTAAACTTGACTTTAAAGATACTTTAAGATAAACACATTACACTTCAGATTTAAGTATTAAGTACTAAGCACGTGGAAGCTGGTGAGCCATTAGGTTAGTCTAAACGTTACCTTATGTGTTTTAAAAACCAAAATTGACAACCAGCCGATTAAGTTTTTAATTTTATTTGGCCAATGTTTCTAAAACACAAATAAACTCACAGGAGCCATTCATTGTTTTAACCCTTTGCGATCGGAAGGCCAGCAGGAGTGGCCACAACGCAGTCTGCAGCCAGTCGGAATTCAATCCGTACTGACTTGGTTCCAACGGTCGGGCGGCCAGCTGTACTGGCCAAGTCCTAGTACACGCCCCCTCGGCATTCATCATGGCGGCTCGCTCCCAGCAGCTCGGAATTGTTTTTACTGAAAACCTGCAATGTTAGCATAGGGGATATAAATTGTAATAAAACAATCGTAATGTTATACTGACAACTGATTTATTAAGTAAAAAAAACAGAAGAGATATTGAATATATACATACATTTGTTTGAAAATGAAAATTCTTTGATATTACGTATTTACTAAAAGTGTAAAATGAACGTATATAGGCTACTCATACAAACAATGAGTTGAAAGTTCTCTTTAATCGTCTCGGATTTTTTTCACTGAATGATATTTTTCGAAACATTCACCCATGTGAAGTCCGGGATTGTTAGAACAAGTTTTACAAAAAAACTTTGACCTTTTTCTTTCTTTTCCTGGTCTTCTATCGCTACACACCGCACAGTCCTTTGTTTTACCTCCCTCAAGCGGATAGGGCAGATGAAGTTTTCCATTCAGTCGCTCGTCCTCGACTAAAGATGATGGTCTTCCTCGTTTTCGGACATTTCTTACTTCTCCGACCAGTTCTTTAATCAACATTTTTCTGTAACGTCTTTGGCGAACTACATTTTTCCTTTCTTGATTGGTATTGTATAGAATGAAGGAATTTACAATTGCTGTTTCCAAAAGCCAAAAGAACATTTTCCTCCACCATTTCAGGGATTTCCTTGTAAATGAGTACGAGGAAATGTACTGGTCTGCGATGTCCACACCACCCATATGTTTATTATACTCACAAACTGCAGTAGGTTTTTTTACTAACTCCCCTACTCCCCCTTTTTTGTAGCGCCTAACCGTTTGGGTAGAGTTATCACCGAACAGTGTACTTAAAATAGCCACCAAGTTTTTGTCTTTCCACAACAGAAGAGACACTTCATCATTTTTTCTGTAGATTTTTGTTTCCCCAGTTTTTAATTTCAACTTAGGTTTAGGCAGGTTCTTGTTTGTTTGTTTTTTCGCTTTGTCCTTTTTAGGCCTAGCTGGTCTCACTTCTTCCGGCAATCCTTTTCTGTGTAGCATGATAGTGCCGGTTGTATGGGCTTTCCATGCTAATAGTGCCTCTGCCAAATCAAGATTGGAGTAAAATCTGTCAGTGAAAACGTGAAGCCCTTCAACATCTCCCAGTGTTTGCTTAAGTTTGTCCACTAGGTGTAAAACAACACGACTTGTAGCTCCTAAATCAGGCCTAATCAAGCGATCTGTGGTTGTTTTACCAAAATATGGTTCAATGGCACAAATATAGCCCGTAGTTGAATCTGACAAGACGAAAACCTTGATTCCCCATTTAATGGGTTTGTCCTTGTTGTAGGATTTAAATAGGATCCTTCCTTTGAACCCAATCATACTTTCGTCTACACTTACTTCATGCTGTGGGACAAAATACTCTCTAAATTTCTTATCGAGGTATGCAGCAACATTTCTTACCTTTCCTGATCGAGTTAATGTCCCAGCTACGCGGCCAGATGGAGGTGGGGAGACATGAAGATTCCAGAAGATTTGTAAAAATCTTTCCTTACTGAACACATCTTTGAAGAATGGTTGGTAGTCAACCCAATTGTTTGAAAAGTAGTCACCTATCTCTGGTTTCTCATTCATCCCCATGTTAATTATGAGTCCAAAAAAAGCTTTCAACTCTTCCAGCGTAAGGTCTTTCCACGAAAGCCAGATGGATTTCTTCTGGAGTGGTGTATTCTTCTGTATCTTTTCTGCAGCATACCGGTTTGTTTCTTTCACTATCTCCAACATTAAATCATTTGTGAAAAAAAGCTGGAAAAAGTCCAAAGGTGTTGTTGGCGTTTGGTCATTTGGTGGCTTATAACCACTATCATGTTTCCACGAAAACTTATTAAAATTATTATCCCCTTCAGACCATACCTTCCACTGTCCCGACACACCCATACCTTCTTCATTATTTGTCCCTTGGGCACCTTCACCATTAATCTCTTCAACTTCCATGCCATCATTATTTCCACTTTCGTGTACTGCTTCCGTGGTTAAATGTCCATTAAATTCCACATAGGCTACTTGACCTCCATCACTTCCATAGTCCTCTTCAAAATTTTCTTGAGCTTCATATCCATCATCAACTTCTTCAAAAACCAAGTCCTCATACTCTGCAGCTAAATCAGTTGAATTTACGTCACTTTCGTGGTCGGATCCATAATAAATATCGGGATCATCAGCATCTTCTTCGTCGGCAAACAATAAATCTCTCAATTCGTCTGATCTTAAACGGTCGTCCATAATTACTTACTTAAATATAGGCTTGGAATAATAACAAACATAACCCAATTCACACGTCTAAATGTTTATAAGAGATAAAACAGTTGTATTGTAGGCCTAACTATTATAAAAGTGTAGCGCGTATACGTAGTATATGTACAAATGTTCTTTTAATCAACTTATATTTACATTAAAACTTTAAACTAGATTAAAACTACAAATAAACATAAATCTGTCGAGGAAATAACCAAAAACTCAATTGTAAAACTGAACCAAAACAACGGTTGTTATGACAGCACTTTTGCCAAAACAACAGGTGTTTATTTTTGTTGTCGCCACCACAAATTTTGCTATATAATGTTGCAAACCTGCTGATAGGTTAGTTTATTAATTCCTCACTAGGTTGCAGCACTATACAGGCATCATAACACAGTTTGGAATATTACAAACGAAAACAATGTTGTTGGCCAGTCCTCCTGGACGCCCGAGTGTTCGTTGGATTTCATGTTGGCCAGCACCGCTGGCCGTCCGATCGCAAAGGACAACTGCTGTGGAAATAAATCCGACTTCCGTGCGCTAATGGCGGCGGCCAGTAGAGCTGGCCGCGCGACCGCTGAGGAATGACGGCAAATATTCATTCCGATCGCAAAGGGTTGTAAATTAGAATCAACTTGTTTGGCCAACTATTAAATAAAAAAAAATTCTTAAAGTGAATCTCTTACTAGACTGCAGAAAAATAAGTTGAGTAAAAGCCCGAGAAAATACACATTGTATCAAAAGTTCTCAAGCATTCATAGATTGTATATTTACACATCTTGCATTTTGTAACTAGGGGTCGTTTTTCAGGTGGAACTCGTTCCGATGCCTGTGTCGTCATGATAAGAAGATCAATGCGGTGCTGGAGATGACAACTGATCTTCCATCCGATGAGGAGGTGAACAATTTTGATATTGTCATTTGAGTTATATTTGTAAAATTGTCAAACCAAGTAAGTTAAGAACAGTGTTTTAGCCTTTTTCTAAAAAATAGAAATTTATAGGCGACCTGTGTTTTTTCGAAGACATTAGAAAGCTTTTCCAAACCAGATAGTTTACAACTATACCACTGAGTATTATAGTTTTGTTTCACGTGGTAATAAGATTTTCAATGAATTATTCACACTTTAAATCCTTTAAGCTCCAACAGTCAATGTGTCGGGCGTAAGACCGTCATAACTGAATTATACTCTTACTCCCATGGCCATCGATATTTGGCTTCGCCCTCTTATAACTATTGTGACGTCAAATTCTAGGGGGGGGGGGAATAAACTTGTATTCACACGGTCAGGTTAGGCCTACCCTTAGAATCAGCCACACTCAAATTTCTTCTCCGCAGTGCTCAGAATTAGCTGAGAAAAATTCAGGGGTGTCGACCCCGAACAATACGAAGCTGTTCACGGTTTTGACTGATTAATTATTTTAATTTAATCAAAAGCTCAGAGTTTGTAAGCGCTCAGGAAATCCTGCAGACGCTCAGTTGGAGCTATATCATCCCCACCTTCGCTAAAAAGTGTTTTTAACAATTTTGCCTAACTTTTGGGAACATTTCTGTAGGACAAACGAGTATTCTACCCTAAACACTACGTTTTTTACCCCCCTTATAATTTTTACCTTACCACTACGTCTAGTCTAGTGAAGATTTGACTAGACTCAATTTCCACCCTTCCATGTTGTGTCCCACATGAATAGAAGATTAAACTAGACATTAAATTACCATGGTATAGTTGTAGCCAGTTTTTTACTTAAAATTGACAAAGAATTTAGCCACTGACATAGTGTGCTAATGTAAATTAATGATTTTTGACAACTACCTAAACTTTTTAACCAATTTAAACTGAAAGATCAACTTATCATAAACAGCAGCATGTTTTACATACACATTTTTGTATTATCGATAGATAGATAGATAATTTTTACATTGGCTCATTTTACTTTGTTTTGTTTGAAAAATTGGCTACAGCTGGTCCATATAGAGACGTCTGCCCTTATAACTAAATTTGTAACATGCACACACCTGTTAAATAAAAACTTTAATGTATTTAGCAACTAATTTTTTCCTCATCTCTAGATTGCCAGATGGTTGGGTGAGCCAGTCAAATGCATCGTGATCTCCACTAGTGTGTTTATGACCAACAAGAAAGGCTTCCCCGTGTTGACCAAGGCGCATCAGGCCGTCCTCCGAGCTTTCTCTGCGGTCAACGTTCAAGTGGTCATAAGCGGATCTCTGAGACACGAGTCGTACAAACACTATGCGCAATACATTGACCACATCTTCCAGGTGTGCTTGCCCGTCCGATGGTATCGTAGTTGGAATTGGAGTTTAGCAATTTCAATGAATTGAAGAAAATTAGTAACATCAATTATACCAATCATTTAAGATGGGGACGCCACTATGTGCATATTTTAACCCAAATATGATACATGATGGTAGGAGATAAAGTATTGCATGAACTGTTTTGTGAGACATTTGACTGCAGGTGAGTGGTTATAGTGCTCCACTAGTAATCAGATCCCCGTTCGATCTTTAAAAATGAACAGCTCCAATTGGTTCAAAACTGGACTCACCTGTCCTTATGGCTTAATATATAACCTAATTTATCACCCTCTGTTTATTTTCATAATTAGACTCACAAATACGCGAGGGTAAAATTCCGCCTGAGAACAAACTTGAGAGTGCTTTGAAATATACATCAGCGACCCAAACATAATTGTAATCTAGATTGATTAACTTACGATTGTATCTAACACTGTCACTTGAATAATCGTACGCTGTAAAACTGTAAACAAGTGGAATCTATTTTAGACTCTAGATTATATTATTTGTCTACGGGCTACCAATTTATGATGTAACAAAAAGACAATGTTAGTTAGTAACAAAACCAGGGTTTGAATCATTCTATTGTAACCATTGGCATTGAGAAGTGACTGTAGTTATGGTAGTTAAAGTTGAATGGATTCAATCATTTTAGAATCAATCAGTAAAGTTTCAGTGGTGTAACCTTGACTATATTTTTGGCAGACTCTCAGCACAGTTGATCCTCTGATGTCCTATGGTCAAGGGTTTGAGGATTATTTGCAGATTCCTCTACAACCATTGATGGACAACTTAGACTCCCAGACGTACGAAGTGTTTGAGAAAGACCCTGTCAAGTACAGCGAGTACCAACGTGCCATCTACTTAGCGTTGTTAGACAGAGTGCCCCCAGAGCAGAAAGATTCTGTTACACAGTAAGTGATCTTGAAATTTTATGTTTATAGTATTTTAAAATATGGAGTGTCGTTCGTTTTAGGAAGTTTACCCCTCATTTGAATCAAAAGTTTAACTGAGTTGGTAAAATTTAATTAATTGAATATTGTTTTTTTTTTTTATCAATGGCTGATAGAGCCTAATTTTTCTCTTGATCTGAGTCCTCTCGCCGTTGCAGAGCAGCACTGTTAAAAAAATGAGACTGTGTTTGTCAGGCTGTCACGACTTATTAAAATCCTTGCCTGATGTAGGTATGAAATTTTACACTAAAATGGTGTGAGGAGTGAAGAGATTTTATCAAACTAAGAGTTCAAATTGGTTTTGATATGTGTAACTATTTCATTCTGTATATTTAAAGAAGCAAATAATTCTCTTCCGTGTACTCTCTCTCATGGTTATAGCAACTAGTATTTTAAAGAACAAATTTTGTATTAATCGAGAAAAAATTTGAACGATTTTTCAACCTTTATACCAATTTGAATTAAACCTTTTACTCCTTAACACTTTAACCTGTTATTTAGGAGAAATAGTTGTTTTTTTTATCAAACAGTTGTTGTTTCCAGGATAGTGATGGTGGTGGGAGCAGGTCGCGGTCCGTTGGTCAATGCGGCCCTCAACGCAGCACAGAGAGCTGAACGTAAAATCAGGGTCTACGCGGTGGAGAAGAACCCCAACGCTGTTATTACGTAAGTGTGCCAACAATGTAGTGTACAACTAAACAATTGTGAGAAAATTTTTGGCTTATTACGAATCGCAATAAGAGCTCAAGCAATAAGTCGCAAGCTTCAGAGCTCGTCTGAAACTGTAGCATTTAGCCTATACTGTTTAATTTTTTAGTGAGGACATTTTAAATTATATATATTTCCTCCTTTTTTCCAAGGAAAAGCTTTAGGCAAGGATTTTAAGTTTTGTAATAAAGAGGATAGCAGCTACCTTTGAACAAGCAGGAAAGCAATGAGCAGCATTTGGGATGAAAAGAAATATTTCAAAAACTTTGAAAGTCAATACTTGCCGATAGTGGTATTAAATTGATACAACGGTAATCAATTGTAGAGATAACTAAAGGGACAGTGGTGAGGGTAGAATCCTTGTACACCCTGCTTGTCACTCCCATTGACACGGTTACGTGATGTTGCAGACTGCAGGCACACAAAACAGAGTTCTGGCGAGACTCAGTGACCATTGTCTCGTGTGACATGAGGGAGTGGGAAGCACCTGAACTAGCGGACATCTTGGTCTCTGAGCTGTTGGGTTCGTTTGGAGACAACGAACTGTCCCCGGAGTGCTTGGACGGCGCTCAAAAGTTCCTCAAAGGTTTCCATCAATTATTATTTTAAGTCTTTTTTATAGTTTTATGTTTAAGAATATCTGTTCATAAGTTCACAACTGTGTTGTTACTACAAGACAATATGAATGTCTTTATTTAGAACTTAGATTTTTTTGAAATTTAATTTTATAGATTTTTTCAAATTTGACTCTTCTTTTTACTTCTTATACATTGAGCTATGTACTCATCCCTTTTGAACCTTTATCAACTTTACATGCTATAATTCTGATTTTATCCAACCCACTGTTGGTAACAAAACTGCCACCAGGATTTTGATTTACTGTTCAGATGCCACTTGTCATGATTTTAAAACTCAAACTGAAATAAAGTTGAATGAAGGGCATTAATCATGTGTAATAATTATGTAGTAAAACTTCTGTCTAGTTTAATGTGAATGTTTTTTAGATGATGGCATCAGTATTCCGTGCAGTTACACATCGTACCTGGCCCCAGTACAGAACCCGAGATTGTGGGGTGAAGTGGCCGCGAGATTCCGAGACCCGAACAAGGTGTCGGAAACAATGAACTTTGAGATGCCGTGGGTGGTACATCAGCAGAACAGGTATCCTCTGGCACCCACGCAGCCGCTGTTCACCTACCATCACCCTAACAGAGGTGCGAACCATACAGTAAACATTGTTGGATAAAGATTGGTGTACCTTGTTCATCTTCAGTCTGTTAAAAAGTAATTAAAGTGTGTAGTTTCATTTCATGCAACCCATAATCAAATCCAACATCGAATCAGAGACGATGACATTCAACAAATGTCTTGGTCCATACACACATCGACACATAGCACAATGCCTAAGAAACCTTTAAATTGTTACAAGTGCCCAAAGTTACATTTCTGGTGCGCACTCAAGTTTCATGTGTGAGGCAAAGCCAAGCATGTGAGAGTGAGTTTCGTTTCACATACAAGCTGAAACCGAGGACAGGAATAATTGGTGCAAGTACCGGGAAATCACTTTCGGTACAAGCCATAAACCTCTTAATGTTGAGATTGTAGCACAAAGGATTAAATAACTTACGTCATCAATCCATAAATTGTTGTGGAGTACACGTTTCAACCATCAGGTCATCCTCAGCTCCACTGTCACTAGGTTGAATCTGTGTCTATGTCGCTTTGATTTTGTAGCAACAACGTCAATATATTGAATAAATAGGCCAAACACATTTTACATTCATTACACATACACAACACGTACAAAACATTTAAATAACGATAAAACTATGATTATAACACCGTGCGCACGGCTGACGGGCTCAGGTTTGCAGCTAAACTCATTCCTATAAGCCTCCTAAGTGGCTATAGACCTCTTTCCTTTACACTTGCTTCACATAGTACGTAAAAAACTAATAATGAATTTACCTTATCCGTGAAGCTAATACTTTTAGTTATACGATATAGTCCACTGTAATTGTGTCGTGTTACAGATAAAACCATTGACAACTCGAGGTACAAAATGCTGACATTCAAAGTTGAGAACAACAGCATGCTGCACGGTTTCACAGGCTACTTTGATACTGTCCTGTACAAAGACGTCATGCTCAGCATAGAACCGTCAACATACTCCAGAGGAATGGTTTCGTGGTTTCCTATCTTCTTCCCAATCAAAGTACAGTAATCAATTAAATGTATTATTAATCGTTAAGATGTATGTAAATTCCTTATTCTTCCTTTAAAACTGAGTTCGGCATAGCTAGAAATAATATAGAAGTTTGGTATAGGAATTTCTTGTTGTACAAAATTAATATTAAATATTAAACATAGTATACAATTTCAAGTATCGAAACTGCAAACTACTTTGCTACCTCTTTGCAATCTCTCTAATTGTCTCCAATCCAAAAACAATGGTGCTACAGCACAGTTGCATTCAACAAAAACTTTTTTTTAATATGCAGAATTAGTGTTCTTCAGCAAATATTGTTGAAAATAGTTTCCTCTAGAGAAAAATGCATTGGAATTCAATTCCTTTCTGTAAAATTCAAACACAGTATCTAATATAACTTTTGATTTTATTTAGTAGTTAAGTGGTAATAGTGCATGCCTTCCAAACCAACAGTTGGTGATCTGGTCTGAGCGGGATTGATTCTGTAGCCTTCTGCTATTTGTTATTACGTTGTCATCGGCCTATTACCAACAAGCTGACGATGGAATGGAAGTGGAAATATGTGTATAAGACTCCATATATCCATTGATTAAAATAAAATGTAAAGTGGTATTAGATAACTGAAAATTCAATTTTATTTTGTTAAAATACTTTATATTAATTATTTTTACCTGTATTTTCTTACTGTTTAAATGATATTTTAACTTCTTGATCAGCATCGCACATGTGATTAATTTGCCTGAAAGCACAAAAGATACATTAAATAACATTTATAATAATATCGCCTATTGGGTCTGCCCCTTTCCATCTTTTATATGTACTTACCTTCTTGTGCGTAAACAGTATAAGTGTAAATATATTACCTAATACTAGAGGCCATCCAGTGGTTGAAAACTCAACCAAAAATACCTAATCAGGTGGGGACTTCTCTATTTTCACCCCACTCTGTAAATAAAACATGTGATTGGAATTTCTTCCATTTGTTTTCATTTTTTGTTTATATTTTGTTGTTATTTTGTTACCAGCATGGCAACCCATAAAGCCCATGTTAATTTTTCTAAATTTTTGATTAATATTTATGCTTATCTTTGAGCCTATTTCAATTTATAAAGGGATTCTGAAATATCTTTCTATATGCAACAGTAGCCTATGCTTAGATTTTCCTTAGGGTGCACACGAGCTGAGAAAAAGGTTTTAAAGAATCATGCTTGCCTATTGATATATAGATAAGGGTTAATTGGTTATTTGACGTATCTCTTGTGCTTTCAAATGATATTTTGCTGTTATTTTGAAATAAAGTTTGATTTGTTACCTTCTAAGTAAAAAAATACACAGGAGACATTTTTTATCCTGGTTACACTTTACTCAACTAAGCTATTTTTTAAATGTGTTTTAATTTTAGAAGATAACTAGCTGTGTACCCGTTCTACGCACGGGGATCTTATAATATTCAGTTGAAACCTTCTTATATAACGAACAGCAGTTGGTTTGCATATTTTAAGATATGCTGGCCAAACTATTATACATAGCTTCATTTTATGTTGTTTTTTGTTGTTCCGGATCGGTATGACAATCAATAAAAGGTTAAATTACCTCTGTGTCTGCCGGTCGATCCTATAACGGTAGGCTTACTTTTATTTTTACTATCTGATCTCGTTTGCATGGCTCAATCACGTCCTGGTTGAAGTTCGTTCGCTACGCTCACTCACCTGTATGTTGGAGCTCGTTCGCTGCGCTCACTTTCCTTCAGGTTAGCTCGTTCGCTACGCTCACTTGCCTTCAGGTTAGCTCGTTCGCTACGCTCACTCGCCTCCAGGTTGCAAATTAGCTGTTGTCATAAATGTAAAAGAAATAATAGTGCTAGTGCTGCACCCTGTTGGTAATCCTTGTAACTTTAATGCTATTGAACATCACAGAACAGAACCAACTTGTTTAATTGAAACAGCTGTTAAGATTCAATAATTTCATTTCTCATAAGGTTAACATGGGCTTCCAGAAATTCCACGTCAAAAATCGACAAAAACTTGATTTTCAAGGGTTTACTGTTAAATATCTAACTGTCTCATATTCGATGAAATACGTCTAAAACCATCTCATATATGTATAGTATTTGGAAAATAAGTTTCAGGCGGGACAGTGCTATAGTTATTGAGGAGTAGTTGTAATAAAGTGCGTATTTTAGCGTTACCAAGAGAATGACAGATAGACAGACAGACAGACAGACAGACAGACAGACAGAAATTGAGATAAGGTTTGATTCGGTTTCTCTGACCTATGAAATGTAAAAATAACCAAAAAGTTCATTATTCTAAGCAATGTACAGACAAAACTCTAATTTTATTTATATAGATGCTGACTCTAGCAAAAGAAACACAACTTTAAACTACACCCAGAAACGTTGGTCTTTGAGTTGTGGAGACAACTTCTGTCCAACTCAATACTCATTTTGTTGAATATGCTGTCGGTGAAAATATTCTTTCATTCTTTGTGTGTAGTGTAATGTTTTATGTTTCTTGTGCCAGTATGGACTCTATCATTGTTGTTCAGCATGTTATCCTCGAAAATCTTTAAAACTTTGTCCCTTTTGTTCTATTGTGTTACATCCTTAATTTTCACTGCCTATTTTTTCTAGGAACCCGTCTCGTTAAAGACAGGTGATAACCTAGTTGTTCACTTCTGGAGGCTCCACAACAAAAGAGAGGTTTGGTACGAGTGGACAATAACTTCTCCGATAACCACTCCCATCCAGAATCCCAACGGACGAGCTTACAACATCGGACTCTAGTGTTGGCACTGGTCTCAACAAAATCCGTCTACCTGATAATAAGTTAAAAAGCTTTTTTTAAGTTTTTCTTTTGTAAAAAACTGACATAAATTTTGTTAAAAAAACTTTGGTCCTTATTTGATACCTTCTTACTATTTCGAAAAACTGGTAAGGTAAAATTATTCTAGTTAGAATGTAACGAGTTACGCCTCTTTCACTTGACGTGGCGCCCGCCGGATCCGGCATAGGGCTATGGGAGTATATGAGTCCTTTCACACTATGTCCGGCGCGCGGTTTATTGCCGGATGTACCTACAGCCGGACAACAGCGCCGCGCCTTGTCCACGCCGGACAACTCGGTGAAGGGCTATTGGTTCTTATGGGAGCTTTCACACGGTGCGGCGCTACACTGTCTCAATTTATGCAAACTACCTGACCAAGAGGGTGCAACGGGTAATAAGAAATTATATATTGTTGTATCAGAGAAAAATATATTTAAAGTTATCATAAAACATATATTTTTAAGTTCATCCCATGCAAATCGGCCAACTTAAAGTATTAAAACAAACATTTTCCTTTAATAACTAGAGGAGAATATTAATTTACTAATTTATACGTAATGAAACTTTTTTTTTTTAGACTTGTAGAATACAATATTTTCAGATATGACAAATTTATTATATTTTAAATTATCCTATTCACTCTATTTGAACTTTTAAGTGGAGTATTCACTGAGGCGTGGTTAATGAGATTTACTCGGAGGGTTGGTAGGGTCAGCATAGCCGATTGTCCTGATCCACCATTTTTTTTGCCGCACTCCAAGATTACAACAAAAAAAATACAAAACAGCGTGTTTTTATTATGCACGTAATTCGTGTACGCTTGAAAATAAGTTGGCAGCACTCAAAGATATTACGACTACGATCAGCTGGTGCAGCGTTTCCCATTTCGTTCAATGTTTGGATTTAACCTAAACTAAAAACGTCCTGTAATAATATGTAATAACTAGCAGAGTACCTGTCCTTCGTACGGGGTTGGCATATAAGTATAAAATGCTTATTGCAGTTATACTCAAGCTTTGCGTTTGCAATAGGGGAGAACACAGTTTGATAACATTTGCTTCTGCAGAAATAACTGTAAAATCACAGTTTAAGCTCTGACTTATTAACCTGAAACTTACAGGGATGCGGGAAATATAATTTTGGAAGGAGCAAAAATAAAAATATTAGTTATTAATATTAAAGGAAATAATCCTTTCTCTTCCCCCCTACTTCCTACAGCTCCAATACACCAATACAAATTTCATCTTATATCAGGCGCATAATTGTGAACTCACTTCACAGAAAATCGGCTAATTGTCAGGAAGTAACTAAAAGAACAAGACAAAATAGGAGTGGCAAAATATACTCAATAACGAGTTTAATATTTATCATAGATGATGTATTTGGTTGTAATTAACGCAGTGGCGTCATTTCACCAAATCCTTGGGGGGGGCAAACACTGGGGGGTACGGAATACAGGGGGGGGATCCGGGGGAAATTTTGCAGTTTTGAAACAAAAAAGAGGGGTTTAAGCTTATTTTAATTGTCAAAAACACTTAGAATGAAAACAAAATTATGAGTAAAATTTATTTAAATGTAAGCAGAAAATTTTTGAAACTAACAATTATTGACAACAGACAGAAACATAATAATATGTTGGTAAGTTAGCCATCTAAGAAACATGATCAATAGTTTCATGTATTAATATTATTTTTGTTATTAGATTTATGACCAAATTCTCTTGTACAACATTTAAACCTATAGCAATGAATACGGTTGTATCCATAGCCTATAGTTTTTAACAGTTTAATTTGGTTTTTAAATAAAACACAAGTATTTAAGTGCTTAAAAGCAAATCAAATTTTGCTATCAATAAAATAATTTGACTCAATTAATTAGAATGGGCTACTGAGACACTAACAAATAATATTTTTGTTTCAAATTACTGTAGAAGAATAGGCAAGATTTTTGTCTGTTGTGCTTTTTTGGGATTTGACAGGAGAAAATATTTTGTATATTAGCTAGTACAGCATTTTTTTCTCTAGCCCAGGAACCAGGGGGGCATTCCTTCCCCCCCCCCAAATGACGCCCCTAAATTGACGTTTGACTAAAACTGGATTTTCTAATAGATTATTTTTTTTTTTACAAAATGTGTTTTTATGATAGAAGAATCATAAACCCATACAAGGGAAAGTGGTCTATACGTATATAGTGGTCTATAAACATTTATGTTTTGAAAGAGACCAGTCCGAACACTGGTTGTTACTATGTGACACCAATACTTTGTTTAGATGGTATCATTAATTAAAAACAGATAACAAGTGGTATCAGGGTCTGGTAACAATCTCGATTTTGCTTGGAATCTATCTGGCAACCTTCACATTTGAATGTGAGCATATAAAGATAATTTATTAAATAAAATTACATCCTTCTTGCTCTATCAGAAGCAAGCTGCTAAACACAAAGTATAACAAATTAAAATTTAGGCTAAACCGAAGAAAAAATTAACAACTGGGTACCTACCCAGACAATTGTTGAGGATCAGCCTATTATCCACCCACAAAGGTCTGAGACACTGTTTTACTATTTTTATTTTTAAAGAATCGGAATATAAAATTATGGAAGTTGTATTTGGATACAGTATAATATAGGTAGAATGAGAGAATCTCTGTTTCAAATTTATCAATCAGAGAAATCTTTTCTACAGAAGATTGTGTATTATTGTTTTGGAAACTCTATTTTTTGTTAAGTTGACAAATTAGACACTTTCATAAGCTGACTTAAACAAAAAAATCATTTGATTGAATTATGATTCTACCAAAGGTATGAATAACCCATCTGCATTGAAAACTCTGTATTGTGCAATGGTGAGACAGTGTCTGGAGTCCTCTGGAGTATGCTTCCCCGATCTGGACTGGACGCACTGGTCTAGAAGCAATCCAGGAAAGATTTTTGAGGCTGGTGGGAGTGCGTCAGGGATACCCCTATCCGGAGGTGCCAACGATGTTCTGGCTGAGGAGCTGAAAATCCGGCCATTACACATGAGGCGCAGCGTTGCTGATGTTGGTCTCTTGTACAAGCTGCTAAGGGGCCATATATGCTGTCCAGAGCTGCTATTAGAAATAGACATAAGAATCCCTACCATAACAAGATCCAGGGACCTATTCGGCCGTTGCTTCAGAGGCACCACTTAAGACTTTCACAGTCCTCTGGCAAGAATCCTCAGGCTGGGCAACAGAGTTGCTCGTGATGTCGACTTCTTCGCCGACAGCTACACTTCCATAAGGAGGACAACCGAAGCAACCCTGGTGGAGATGTTGGACTAGCCTCAACGCCTCTATTGTTATATATATTATATTCTTTGTTAAAAATTGTCTATTGTTTGTATTTGCTCTTTGTTATGTTTATTATTGTTATATCTATAGTCTTTGTTAACTTATTCATTGTCAGATTATGTATTGTATTCTATTGAGTATTGTATTGTTCAGCTTGTTTTTTTTCATCTATGTATTTTTCCTACAGTTACCTAACATTGTACATGTTCTCTCACTGATTTGAGAAAGCAAAGTGGCCAATTCACTCATCAGTGAGACAATGTTAACATTGTCTCACTCTAATTAATTACCTACTTTGTCTCACTCCAGATTTGCAACGTGAAGGCACGAAATAGTGAGCGCGTACCATGCAGGCAACGTCGTATGCGTGCGAAATACATTGGCAGCACTGGCTGTAAATCAGCTGGTCAGCTGTTGTACTGTTGTATTTGTCACTTCAGTCACTTCTCATTAAATGTTATGTTAGGCCGGGGCCACACTCATCTTATCTCGCTGAATTTTTTCCACGGGCGTTACCCGTGGGTTTGAGAGATACATTACGGTATATGGGGCAGGCCCCACACTAGAGTAAAAACGTCCGTGAACGCGTTTGTCAACGGACAAACGGAATTGCACGTGTATTCTCTACTAACATTCCACGGGCGTTGCACGTAAAACTAGTCGCGGGGCATTGCGGCTTATGGGAGTGAACACACTCATCTTATCTCACTGAATTTTTTTCACGGACGTTTCTAGTTTTAACCTGTCTGTTACTCTGCAGTGATCGTGGAGGGGGGAGCCGGAACACGGACACGGGCGATTTTTATTGCCAGTGTGGCATGCTCTATCAGTCTCACTGTCTCACTGGTTTGCCAAAAAAACCTATCTCGTAAGACGAGTGTGGCCACGGTCAAACTGTTTCACGTGCGTCGCACGTGAAAACGGAAAAAACAGTCTCGCTGGTTAAAAATTACAAGTGTGGCCCCGCCGCCCCGGCCTTAAAAGCTCACTTCTGTGTAAAAATAGGTTATGTTTCTTCACCAATTTATTTGTTTTATGGTAACTGTAGGAAAAGTATAATGTGCAGCTCGAGTTCAAAGTACAATTGCCTCACTTGAGAAACCATATTCCTCACTCGCCTACGGCTCGTGAGTAAGGATTTCTCTCGAGTAGGTCAATTGCTCACTTTTCTCACTAGTTGCACAAATAACTATTTCATTGTATTGAGTATTGAATTTATTGACTATTGTTCAGCTTGTTTTTCATCTATGTACTGGCTTAGCCGTTGGCATGTATAAATAAATAAATGGTGTTTTTACCTATGTACAATCATAGACTAACCAACACAAGGGGTATGTTTTATCTATGGTACAATCAAAGATTAATAATAGCAAAGATTACATATGCTAACGCAAAATCTTTGCTATAATAGGTACTCCCTTTGACCAAAGGTCAATACCTATATAAAAAATATACCTGGACATTCATAAAATAAACCTGACAAAGGAAAAATAAATGTGTAGGTCTACTCAAAATGTTTGTCGATTTCGTGACCTCTCATTGGTCATAAATGGCAACTCGTAAGAAAGTCATTTAACATGAAAAACTTGCATGAATGTAAGTCAGGTCATAAAAATAAAGTAAGTATTAAGTTTGCAATTTAAAATTCCTAGTAACATCTATCTGCTACAATGTAACAATAGCACTCTGGTATTAGTTTGTAATAAACAAATTTATTGCGTCTTGAAAACACAATAAAATTATCACATGTGTGATAAACCATTTGAAAAAATAGGTTATTAAGTTTTCGGCAAAACAGTTCCCTCAGCAGGGGGTCAGGTTATCTTGGGTTATCGAGACATTGTGTTACATAAGACAATTCGGTGATGCGAGATACAAAGGGCAGTGGCTATTTACACTGTCGTCTGCAACAGAACAGACTAAAATCGAAGATGGTTTGTTTGAGGTTGTGTTGTGTTTTATCTAATAGTTTAACGAAAGGTTCTTTAAACTGTATACCTTCGAGTGTGAATAAAAATAAACTTTCTCATCCCACAGTTTATAGTGTAAGATCGTTTTTCAGAACCGTCCTCAACTATTCTACACAGCCAGGTAAACTTCATTTACCTAATCATTCGGAAACCTACTCCTAGAAAACGTAGTCATACAGTTTATGTTTACTAATTTTACAGATTTACACTATTTGTTTGGGTTAAATTTATTCCCACCATTCTTTCCTTCGAGAGTTTTAGCCTTTAAAGTTGATCACAAAGGAACTCACTTAGCCCATGCCCAAGGATGGGAATATTTTTAGGTCACTAATTTAGCTATTTTAAAGGTCAATCATCAAGAAAAATATAACCAAACCTTCACTAACTTGCAACTATTAATGTTGAATTAAGATTAGATCAAACTCAACAAAAACTACTGAAATCCGTGCCTAACATGTGAAATTAAGACTAGGACTAGGCCCTAATGCAGTTTGTCTTTTGGTTTGATATTGTTAGTAGGCTAATGTAGACTGTAAGCTCTGATCAATGGCCGAGCGGTTTAAGGTGTTATACTCCAGCAAATAACACTAATAACAGCTTTGTAGATCAAATGCCTATACATATTTGTTTCAATCAGGTCTGGTAGAGCTGCCTGACTGTGAAAATCTTAATGGGCCTAGGCGTTCCACCTAAAATAAATGGTGGATCGCTCTCGTAGAGATTATCAAATTCGGCCTATAAGACCAATGGATTCGTTTTCTATCAGTTACCTATTTTATTAATACAAACCCATCTTAACTGTGTGGGTTCACTTCAAACGTGCATAATTTGAATTCCGTGTAAATTCTCGACTGTCAATTTTTTGCCCCTTGACAGTATATTGTAGTAGTGAAGTACCTATTGTTTTCTATTTTAATATGAAATTACATAGGCTAAGTTACAATCTTTTTCCTATAGGATATGACTGTTTTTAGAGATAGGATCGAGCCAGGTTACTGGAAGGGTTCAAATTATCAAGCTTCTACTGTATGTGGTTAAACCAAGTGATTCCAGTAAAGTAATCAAGTTATTAGATCGAACTATTCCCCCTTCTACATGTTTATTAAAGGTCTATTGATTTGTTTTTTTCAGTGGTTAAGAAAAGAATGCTTGACTTATCAATCTTATCCAATTTTCAGATTGCCTTTATACTCCCAAACATGAATGGATCAAAGTCAATGGAGAAGTGGGAACTGTTGGTATTTCACACTACGCTCAGGTAACCAAACATTCGTTTTATTGGATCAGTTGAATTTTATCCTTCAGCTTTACTAAATTATAATTTCTTCTCTTAGTTTTGTTTCTTTTCTTAACTTTATAAACTAGTAAATGATGGCGAATCCAAGTTTAGTTTGGTCAAAGCTGTTTCTAAAAAAACCTAAGGTATTTTGGATTTGGCATAAAAAATGCCTACAAGAGTCAAAACTCAATGTGTGAAGTTGTTTTCATTACCAATTTCTTAAATGGTTCACTTCACGGTACAGTAGTCGGTTCATGTTTAAAAAAAATTTTTTACTAATAATATTGGTACCCTAGATCTATTTGAAAAATGAATTTTCTTCTTCCACTTATTACTTAATCTTAGTGAGAATTTTATATCAAAATAGATATCGATGAAGGACTTTTACATGTGCTTGCCTTAGATTCTAGACTGACCACTTTTTTACCTTAACATAAATAAGGTTGTCGTCAATTAATCCTATTGTTTTTAATGGATACCAGGTTTCAGGGTTTTATCGTCATTTTCAAATCCTTTTTCTTCTTGTCAAACATAAATTACGCAGCACTTTCCGTTGTCAAATTTAAAAATAATTTCCAAATATTGTAGAAACACACAAAAAAACACTACCGTACTTACTATTTACTTACTATTTATTTAGGTATTCCTAATTAAATGCCTTCTTGATCCCATACAATTATTCTTGTTTGCAGGATTCACTGGGGGACGTAGTCTTTGCTCAGTTGCCTGAAGTTGGAGAAAAGATTGAAAAAGATTGTATGTCTAAATTTTTCTGTTGTAAATATTAGAATAGACAATAGGCTGTCAGCCGTGCTGTGGTTACCCTAGGTTCTGGCGCACACCGTTGGGAGCGCCGTGTTGTTACGTAGCGCTTATGTTGTAACTACACGGCGCTCCCAGCAGTGTGCGCCAGAATCTATGGTAACCGCAGCATAGCTGACAGTCTATATTTAATTCTTTTTTTCTATGATATTAGTAGGCTAGGCCTACCACAATTTGTGGAATCAAATCACTCATGTAGGCCTAATTAATAGTATATGGGACATCAATGATTACAGTTTAGGAATTATACATTTTAGTACAGTGCAATTTAAAGTAGTATGACTAATTTAAGGGATTAAAATAATTTATATGATAGTTGATTCAAGATTTGTGTGTGGAAGGACAGTGAGTGACTCAATTTTTTAGATAAGTTAATGCTTTGCTTTTCTTGTTTTCTATAACCATAAGCATAAATCCAACATCTACTCGTACATGTCTTTGAGCAGATTTGACTCTGTTCCGATTTGATATGGCAGTTTTCGGATGAGCAGTTTAATACATTCCTGGTAAAGACAGATCTCATGCTAGATAGTTCTGTGGGGTTTCTTGCAACCTGGTGGCTGGTGTGCTCTTCCTTACGACTTTAGTCGCCAATTGCTTCCTGGGGGCGATTACACCGCTGGGACGAGCATGAGAGACAATGATGAAAATTATATAAGACTGTGTTTCAAATTTTAATTTAGACAGAAAAATTTGAAAATTATAAGTTTCTTAATTTTACAATTAAATGTAGCATAATTTGACAAAGTTTTCTTTATTCGACTCACTTTATAAGTTGTGTAAAAATGAATGAGCCCCGAGTTCAGTTTAGATTATGTGGATTGTGGGTTTATTGTGGTTCAGATTAGGTAGATGTCAGGACTAGTAGGATTCTTCTGTAAAATCATCTACACTTGATCTGATCCGTAGGCCTATATTTGTTATAGCTGAGGTCGGGGCCCTAGAAAGTGTTAAGGCTGCCAGTGAACTATATTCTCCCGTGTCGGGCACAGTTGTCGAGAAAAACACCGAAGTGGAAGACACACCAGCTCTCATCAACCAATCCTGCTACGACAAAGGTACTTTTTTGATTGCCTGTACAGGGCCGGACTTAGGACTTCAGAGGCCCCGGGCGAATTTGCCGATGGGGCCCCCAGTATGATTATACGAGAACAAATACGGTACACAATGTAACGCATATTACATGCACACTCATTTTAAATAGGCAATTTCAAGGTGAATTAATATGTAAACCTGTTAGAATAGTATGCTGTATTTTGCATAAAATAATTTTATGTAATATTTTAAGTCTGAAAATAGCTACAATGTACGGTGTAATGTTATGATTTGTTCTTGTTGTAATTGTATTTATAAAATTTTAATATACCTAGCAGGTACCTTACACATTTTTTTGCAATACGTTAAAATGTAATATCTTTTGCAACAAATAATGAAAACTATAGATAAAATAAAAATAAAATAACACGTACTTGTAAAAGGTTTAATTTAATTTTTTTACTGTAATACACATTCTATTTGGTGCTTGAATGAAAACACAAATAAAAAATAACTAACATTAATTAATGGAATAAATTATATTTAAACACGTGATGTAAGTCAGAGATAATGCATATAGTCCAGTCAAGGAATGAGGTGTAGAGTGCGTGAGCAGGTAACTAAGCGATTCCTTCAGAAACTTGTTCAGGGGGCTTAGGGTGTTAACATACCAAAAGTCCTGACTCCTAGGTGGTGAGCCAGGGGGTGGAGGGGGGAAAAGGGGGGGGGAAAGGTACGCATTTTGGGTTTTTTGATTATATCTCGAAAACTGTTAACTTTTTGTATACTATAGTAAATTATAAAATTGAAGAAGATTAAATTTTCTACAAGAAAAGTATATAATGTGTTTATTTTGGTTCAACAGATTACGAGTTATAACTTATTTAATTGATATCTTATTAAAATCTTCTTCCATAAGAAATACATGTAAATGAGTATGCGAAATGGGGCGAATCCTATCCGCCCAAATGGAATATAAATGATATTCTGGAAATCTTGACAAAATTTCCAGTAATTTGACACTTTAATCATTAAAATTGATCCAAAATTAAGGCGAGGGCGAGGTAACAAAATTTCGAGTTTTGGTGTTTTTTTATTGGAAATATAAAAAAAAATCCTTAAATCATCCCATTTTTAAACGCTCACCCTCGCTTTAATTTTTGACAAAATTTCATGATTAAAGTGTCAAATTACTGGAAATTTTGTCAATATTTCCAGAATATCAGTTATATTTCCTTTGGGCGGATAGGATTCGCCCCATTTCGCATACTAATTTACATGTATTTCTTATGGAAGGAGTATTTTAATAAGATATCAATTAAATAAGTTATAACTCGTAATCTGTTGAACCAAAATAAACACATTATATACTTTTCTTGTAGAAAATTTAATCTTCTTCAATTTTATTATTTACTATAGTATACAAAAAGTTGATAGTTTTCGAGATATAATCAAAAAACCCAAAATGCGTACCTTTTTCCCCCCCTTTTTCCCCCCTCCACCCACTGGCTCACCACCTAGGAGTCAGGACTTTTGGTATGTTAACACCCTAAGCCCCCTGAACAAGTTTCTGAAGGAATCGCTTAGTTACCTGCTCACGCACTCTACACCTACTTTTGGATCATTCATTGACTGGACTAATAAACTTTTAAAGCTTTAATATATTTTATAACTTACTATAATTTTACTAACAACCCTTTTACTAAGTTTATAAGATACAAGTCAAAACAATTTTAAAGTTTACTTTAAATTTATAGATTAATCATTATAACGTTTAGAACATAGTTATTTTCCTTATAAATAAATGTCACTTCCCACTCTGATACGTTGGTCACGTTGGCCTGGCAATTAAAACCCCCTTTTCCTACATTTCTTGGCTGCACTAAAACTATAAAACCATAAACTATGACTTATGTTTATTTTCATAGTGGTTTTGGCATGGAATTCTCGTTTGTATAATATGTTAAAGTCCTAGCATGAAAAGTATCATTAAGAACTTTAACGAGTTTGAGTTTTTTCTTGACGAGTAAAATGTTACAATACAAGTCTAATAACCAATCACAAGCTAACCATTTATATGAGCAACTGAAAGATGTTTAAATGTATTCAATATCTCAGATTAATACAACACAAACATAACATGCAATACAACATTAATTTGTTCTTTGTAGTGTTTGCAGAATTATTAATAAAATACAACACAAAAGTACGACAATGTCAACCAAAAACACACTGGGAGTAAAGTGATTTAAATTGTTTTGGATAGGCGATAAGGCATTGTATGTATGTGTATGCTCATGCGTTAGACAGACAGGACTAGACAGGATCCCTTATCAGCTCATTATCATTTATTGTTGCAGCTGCTTGTTGCTTTTTTACGATTTCAGTCGACAACGCTCGCCCGCTCCCAAATAATGTAATATTTGTTAACATCAGACGACCCATGTCTATATAGGCTGTTTTTATCCTACTGGCGCTGTATGATTTTGACTCTTAACGACTAAATTGAAGATCCAAATTTCGACGTATAACTTAATTACTATTTTACAAAACCTTTTAATTGAATGGATAATATAATACTTCTGCCCCTTAAAATCATGATTGGCATATACTTAGAGGTAAAAGAATAACATCTAATAAAACATAAACGGAGCAATGTTTTTATTTTTCAAAAGTATTAGAACTCCATTGAATCTCCATTTAACCCAACACAATTGTACAAGTTACATTCTACGTCAGGACAAGAGTTTTCATTATTATTTATTGTATTTTTTGCCCCAAAGCGAAGGGGCCCCCTTCAACTCGATCGCCGCGGCCGTACGTTTGTGTGAACGGCGTCATTGAAACTCAAACTGGTCCGTCACAACCTAACAGCTATGCTTGTGTTAACTAGGTCTAAGCGCGGGGCCCAGTGCAACCCTTGAGGAAAAGTCCCTTAGAGTTAAGAATTTTGATCCTAGTAATACCTAAAATTCACTCAACAATAACCTTAAATATAGGATAACGACAATAAAGCTGTTAAAAAAGAAGGCCATTCGGTAAGTGTATGATTAATTTTTGAAGATATTAATAAAAATTACTGTGCAAGGGGCCACTTTCGGGGCCCCCCTAGGCCCGGGGGCCCCGGGCGCTCGCCCCGTCCGCCCCTAGGTAAGTTCGGCCCTGTGCCTGTATTCTGAATTTATGGCTTGAAGCCTCAACGTTTACTTTCTATCCTCATACAATTCCACATTTATTGAGTTGTGTAATTTAGAGGTGTCATAGATGATTGGTATGGATACTATACTCAGGCTATCAGGTCAGGTTCATTTCAGTCACGCAGATGGATTAGAAAGTTTTTCTATACTTATGTTGATTTTAGTAAATGGTGGTTGTCTCTGTCCAAAGGGATTTGTTCAGACGCTATCTATCAAAAAAGTGTTTACCAAGAAAAAAAAACCACAATGTTTCTGGTTTCTACTCTGGTTATCTTAGGTAATGAGTTACAATTTAAATTTTTTGACCCTTCTAAAGTTGCCTTTAACTAAATAAATGTACATGTAAGTAAGTGTGTAGTTTGCTTGAGTCAAAATCTTACATTAGTGACTAGCTTATTTCTTATTATTTCTGTATATCCTTCTTTCTGGCCATGACCCTTGTTTAATATTCTATTACAAAAATCATAAATGGTTTTTACAAAACTTTTAGTCAAACTTTGCTATGAATTTATTGTTTGTACATAGGTAACTGATATTTCTTTTGTTTTGATTTAGGTTGGCTATTCAAGGTTCAACTAAGCAAGCCTGATGAGTTAAAAGACCTTCTCAACGAAGAAAAGTACAAAGAGTTTTTGAAGACTGACCAGGAATCAAAAGATCACTAGACTAGACAAGGAATTTGTATTTGATACTTAGGGTTTTATTGTTTGTTTTGTAAAGTTTAGTAAACATCTATTTATTACAGTTATTTAACTGCATAACAACTGTAAATAACGTTTATTTCACCTTTCTTCCATTGAGAAATGTACACATAGAAACTCATCTAGTGATGGAAAATAGCTTTTGCTAAGCTCTAAGGCTCTTGAGATCCGAATTCAGCCGTAGAGAGGTGTTCAATGTTGTAAAGGAAGAAGTTTTCCCGTAGTTTTAACTTCTTTAGTCACACGTGCTTAATTAAATTAAGTGATGATATATAAATGGATTTAGGCCTAATATGTTGCTTTTCTAATTTTTTGTTGGCCTAGTGGCGGATCCAGAGGGACCAGTGGGTAGGGGGCGACCCACCCCCCCTCGGGCATATATATATATAATATTTTTACTGCATGTAATACATCGTACGTAATACATGCATGTGCATACACATCGTGTAAAATAATTTTCCACACTAACTTTGGACAAAAAGATGATATAAAATTGCCATTTTGGAGACTTAGTTTACACAAATTTTTCATGGGGGCGGGCAGACCCCCCGGTTCGCCCTCCCCCCCTTGTGACTGTTCGAGATCCGCCACTGAGTTGGCCTGGCCTATCAGATTAATCATTTAATTATTCAATTAAATTTTTCGTGAGCAAAGCTACAGCGGGTTTGCTAGTAGTTATATAGGCTACTGGAGTAGAAGTGATTGTTTTATAACATTTGCCAATGCTTATTATGGTTAGTTGGTATCTTTTTAATAGATAAATATTCATGAATTAACTTTCAATATAAATTATAGCTTATATTTGGCTCAAAGAGTGCTTAACGTTGCTATTAAGGAAGCTTAAAAGTTTTAAGGCCTATATTGTAATAAATAATGGTTTAAATACCTTATACTGTCAAAAGTGATCCTTTGTAGTCTATGTAGGCTACTGCAGTTTGCAGGGGCGGACTGGCCCGCCGGCCCACCGGCCAGTGGGCCGATGCGCCTTCTCAACATTCCAATATTTGCGCCCTCGTTAAAGGAAAAATTCATAAAAATAAAAAATGAGACGATATTAAAAATAGATGTATTTTTTAGAAAGCTAGAGGAAAAACTTAGAGTAAAAGTTTCAGCAGTGAATAGCAAAACATAAAGTTGGGTGTGAGACCTGAATAAACACTGTCGACAAGCGAGAGCAAAGCAGCTCTTCTCTCTCGTACGTGTAGGCCTACTCCGAGTGGAAGGCACTTACTTTACTCTGTGGTCTGAGCTACTTAAAAACAGCTGTCCTCTTCCAGCGTCATTTTACGCCGAACCCGAAAAAACTGCACTGCGACCACGAGTACTAGAAAAATACCGGTATGTATCATAAACATAAACAAATGACGTTTTTGGCCCGAAAATAAACATTATTTAACATTGAAATGAAATGAAATGAAATGATGTTTATTGCCGTTAAACTCAAATACAGGCATTGGCAAGCGTCACAATCAATAGGTAAACAATATAAAATAAACATTGTTGCATTGTTTCACTAACAAACAAAATCCTTAACACTATAAAACAATTACAAATTAAAAACTCTTTAAGCTGTCTCTTAAATTTACGAACGTCCATTTCATTCCTGAGATCATTTGGGAGGGCATTTAAAAAAATGACAGAATTGTAAAACATTTGCTTTTTAAAAAATGAAGTTTTGTGTCTGGGGATGTTCAAAGTATTAGTAGATCTTGTTTTATATATTGAATTTGGTATAAGATGCTGATAAAGTTCAGTGTTTTTCTTAAGAAAAAGCAGAGTATGAAAAATGTAAATACACGGAAAGGTGAGAAGACCCGTTTCAGAAAAAAAGCGCTTACATGATTGTCTTGGCTTGAGATGACCTAGGACTCTGATGGCTTTCGTCTGCATCCTAAAGATTTGTTTGGTGTGAACGTTTTCAGACCCCCAAATGCCAACGGCATAGGACAAATGTGGATATACGAGGGCAAAATATACAGTTAGCAAAACATCTCTGCTCATAAATTTTGAAAGTCTGCGAAGAACAAATAGTGAAGATCCTAACTTGGCAGTCACACAATCAGTATGAGAAAATAGTTCAGATTCCTATCCTACATTGCTTAAATGGAACTGCCAAATCATATGTTCAATGCTCAGTATAGGATTCGGGCCAACGACATCATTTGTTTACGTTTGTGATCCATACCGGTATTTTTCTAGTATTCGTAACTATGCGACTAAATCCGACATCGGTCGGTGTCACGATGTCGTCTGTGGTAAACAACTAGTGAAGATAATTTAATATTATTCATATTTGTTATAATATTTAATTATTGCTCACACTATAACTATTTCACTTTAAGTCACATTTAATTTTTATCAATATCAACTCAACTCTCTTGTAGAATGGCGTTTGCCGTGCATGTAATAAATAAATAAAGAGTGTGAGCTGCCAATTAAAATGTGTCCCTCTTTAGTGAGTGTCTGATTTGTGTCTCTGTGTCGAAAGCTTCAATTTATTTTTATATTCTTTACCTACACAGGAAACATGAACGAAAGCAGTATTGTTATTGTAGAATCACTACTTTTCCAAATTGTAAATAGATTTAGTGACAGTGTATTTGTTAACTTAACCATTACACAGTAAAGGTTAAACAGTAAACAGTATTTTAATATGTGGCTACAGCCTATTAATTAATTATTTCAATATGCACTACGGCACTAATTTTGTCAACTTTCCTATTTTACTTACAGATAGCCAGTCTAAAATACCTTCGTAGTTCTCTCTAGGCTATTTCATTTGTAGAAATAGGTTAGGTAGGCCTACTTTAGGGTTACAGTTTTGACTTAATGTAATGCTAAAAAGTTTAAGTCAATAAATTGGTTTTGTTCACAGTGAAAGCATATTGTTTGTGTTAAAATAATTTCATAGAAATCTAAAATATATAACTTCTGTTATTTACAGTGCCAAAAAATACAACAGTTGCAAGTTCAGGCTGTAAACAGGAAGCAAATGATTTATATTGTATGCATGCAGCCAAGCCATGCAAGGGAAAACAAAGAAAATACACAAATATAATACGAAAGAACCTAAGAAAATCATTTGTATTTATATTTTTGTTAGGATAAGTTATTTACTGTCAGAATAGCACCAAGTCGTGTGGGTAAATAGTCTAAATTTTGTAAACCAAACATTGATCAATAGTGTCAGTTATCAGATTTCTGATTTTCCACTGTTAATGCCTCTAGATTGCCTAAAAATGCGAGTTTACAGGTATAATTTTTAAAAAATGCCCCGGGGGAGGACCCCCGGACCCCCCTCTGTACAGGGGGGTATTCCATACCCCCAAGACCCCCCGGTTGGCGCCTTCGGGCTGGTCAAGGTTTACGCCCTAATAGAGTACCCAGTCCGCCCCTGAGTTTCATTCCCGGGGGAACTTCATCAGGCTTAATGACATCAAAACTTCATTCCATAGGAAATCGTCATGGTAAAAATCCATCAAGGTCATATATACATAAAACACGGACGAACACACGAACATAACACATAAACATTACGAAACACGGTACCGGGAAGCACGTTACGCCCTCTGCCCTCCGTGCGTAACGTGCTTCCCGGTACCGTGTTTCGTAATGTTTATGTGTTATGTTCGTGTGTTCGTCCGTGTTTTATGTATATATGACCTTGATGGATTTTTACCATGACGATTTCCTATGGAATGAAGTTTTGATGTCATTAAGCCTGATGAAGTTCCCCCGGGAATGAAACTGCAGTAGCCTAAGGCTACAAAGGATCACTTTTGACAGTATAAGGTATTTAAACCATTATTTATTACTTTACCAGTGATCCGGAGGCTAACAACATGAAGCCTATATTGTATTTTGATGGGAATTGTGCAATTTTGTTTTGGGTTAGGAGTATAATAACATACATGATTTTAATCAAAATTATTAATAGCAGTTTTTTTTTAATTCACATTTTCTTAGCTTTAATTTTATGAGTTTTAACAGGGAAGTCACCATTAAAAACCACAATTTCAAACAAATAATCAACACCTTGATTCACTATGAATTTTTTAAATTTTTACTGTTGTGTATGATTCTAATAATTTATTTTTGTAATTTTTGTTTCCATAAAGTCCCTTACAAAAACACAAAATCCCACCCAAAAAATCATGCTCCACCACTAAAAAAATCTCGATGGCGCAGCCCCCCCCCTTCTGGGCACCCCTGTTTTTAATAAGTACCCACATACCAAATTTCATTGAAGTTTGACCACTTCCTCTGTAAACCACAGACGTCACTTCGGAAGATAACCATTTTTTAGAATTCAGGGGGACCTAAAAAGTAAATTTTAATTTTTTACTCAAAACTCACTCTCGGAATTGGTGACGAAAACAAAGGGGTAGTTTCTCCACACGAGGGGAAGTAAGTAAAACAGAATTTGGACGGGTGAATTGGACATCAAATAAAGAGGCTGCTAAACTCATCTTTTGAAATAGAAAATATAACTAGGACACTATGGTCATTAGGAAATCTTGAACAGCTATTATAGGGTTTTAAAAGATCAGGTTAAAGAGGAAAGGTAGATAGTTGGGTGACTTAAATCACACAATTTTGACTTGAGAAGACTTTTATGCTTTCAAAAGATACGCCAAATTTCTATTTTTACAGAGGCCTACATCATAAACTAAACCATAGCGTTTACTTTTGGGTATATTCGTATTCTCCCGGATTGGAAGGTCCTACCATGAAAACAGTACTATAGCATTGATTAAATATTCACAAATATTGTATGATTATTAAATTCATAGCTTCTTTGAAATGTTCTCATGTTCTCATGCTGATAATGGAATCATCCATACGTTTCTCCAAATATAAAGTCTGTTTTGTGTTCTTACTATATGACAAGTATAAATCACATAAAAGGCGATTAAATTCAGGCAGCACGTTTCTGGTATTATCAATGGATTAACAGGGAGTATTTTATCGAAATTTTGCCTAGTCGTCTGCTACGTTGAAGTTGTCAAGTTGTGTAGTTACTCAGTAAAATCGGGTCTATTTTGTATCAATTATTACCAACA